AAATATACTATTATGTATAGAGAAATTTTATTAAATTTAAAATTTCTTGACTCTCAAAAAAAACAGGACAGAGGAAGTACCTAGAGCTCATTTTAGAGGGCATCAAATAGATAATTATTGCCAGTCAAATCAAAAAAATAAAAGACAATGTTTACAGGGCGCTATGCAATCATGGATTGCAGAGTGCAGACAAGTACATGATGCAACAAAAAAAATCCCATGATTACCTAATCTCCTTCGGGAGCCTATCGTACGGTTAAGTGTAAGTTATACATGATCGATTCAGATCTTCAGGTGCAGTGGCGGTGGCACTGCTGGTAGCGGACTTTCCTTCCTTCTCTGAATCCAGTCCAGGATCAAGCCTCGCAGCTGGACAGGTGCATGTGCAACCCACCTTGCGATTCCAGCTCCCCAGCACCTGCACCTGATCTTGTTGCACCTGTAGCTTCCTTTTCCTACTATCTGCCCTAGAAATAATAAAGTGATTAAAATAGTAAATAAGATTTTTAGAAATAATAAAAATCGAGCAAGTAGCAAGTCCATGCAGAAGACTTAACTTTTTCCCCAACACTCAACAGACTTATTTGACTTTGAATTTTCCTTTCACAAGTCTCCGCTGCGTTCGGCTGGCTGGCCGGCTGGGGCTGGGCTGGCCAGCGCACTCACACAGTGTTTTTAGATAGAACAGTATTTTTCTCTCACAACAATTAGCCGGAACAGTATTTTAGCTTGTTTTTCAGTCCAACTGAACAGCCTACTCGTTCGGCAGTGGACAACGAACTTGGAAAAGTCTTAGCCGCTTGTCAGTGTCAGTGTGCACTTTATTATAGTAGATGAGGCCAACATTCAAGCCATTGTAAATTTATTTTCTTGGCACCACTAGTCTACTGCTGCCTGACTGACTCGCTACATATCCTCTCTGCCCCATTTTCCAATGTCTTCTCATCCCTTAGGGTTCGTTTGCATTTGCTGCACTCTAATACATCTCAATTCACATAGATTAGGTACAGTTAAAGTACTGTAGAAAATTAACTATTTTTTAATATAAATCTCTCTGACCCGTATGGATGGGAGTAGATTAGGATGTAGCCAAACAAACCCTTGTTTTGTTCATGGAGTTTAGTTTGGTTAAGCTGACTACTGTAAGAGGCACTCTGAATGCTGAGTAGCAGGCAGAGGAGCTCAACATATATACATATAGGCTGTGCATGCTTGTGGCTGTGAGGCGGGGAGCAAAACGTACCTCGAGAGCGCCTGCTTGAGGTGGGAGAAGAGCTCAACATATATACATAGGCTGGGCCTCTGTCATCCAACTCCGGCTGCTCGCCCTCCTTCTCCACAGTGGCGCGCCGTAGCTGCAGCCGCCACTCTGTCTGGCTGACCACCTTCGTCGCTGTTCTCTTCGCCGACCCCAGCCCACCAGGGCCATGCGGCAGAGAGTCTGAAACTTTTCCAGACGATGGGGTGAGTGCCGAGCTAGCCTGGGCCGGGTCATAGTCTGCGTCTTCTCGGCTTGGCATACGGGTTATCCTTCATAAGTTCTTTGCGCAGGCTTTGGATGCGGCGGCATTGCAGCACTGGACACAAGCGGTCACGGTGTTTTTCTTCCAGCACATAGTTGGCAATCTAGTCTTAGAATCGATTATCATTAGCGTGCCAGGCTTCTCTATTGTTTTTATTTTTGCTCAGTCTGTGTGCGCTTTTCACAGAAGCCGAGAGTGGGATCACAATTCTTGTATCTACTTGATGTAAAGATTGTGATTTAATAAAATCCTCCCTTTATAAAAAAAAAAAAAAAGCAGAGCATTCATCGTGATTACAAATGTCACTTCTGCCTTGTATATTCTCAAAGTAAACCATAAAAGACATTCGGAATCTAATTGTAAGCTCTTATTAATCTCCTGTTTTAAAAAATATTATTAACCTCGAGCACTGTTACAACAATTTGCCTACAAATATCTCTTTTAAAATCATGTCTACTTTTTTCGCACATCTAAATTTTGTTTATTTTGCTTTCTCAGAAAAAAAACTGAGATGGGGTGACTTAAATTATGTTACTCCCGCGAAAGGACTCGTTGCCTAGAGGTTACAAGAGCTTTAGTAGCACCTTAGGTCCTGGTTTTGACTCTATGTGGATAGAGATGTACATGGTACGGATATTTATCCAACCGAATAAATATAAATGCCTATTTACACATTTATTGGGGTATTCGGATTCTTTTCAGATACAGACAAATAAAAATCAGATACGTTATGCGGATATATCGAATATCTGGGGAATATCTGGGTATCGAATAGGAATGTAATATCATAATTATCCAGTGGAAATTGGATATTCCGGGGACCTGTCCATGGCGAATAGTATCTGTACATTTTCGATTTAATTAATATTCTCAATCTCAGCCTCGTTCCACGTGTTAGGTGAACAAAGGCCACGTGTCAGGTGAACAAAGGCCACGTGTCTTTGTGTGCTGCCCCACCCCTTCTTTTTTATAGCATACCTGGACACTAGAGCTTCGCTCTGCTAGCAAGGTGGGACAAAATTCTTCTTGCGTTGCGGAGTGCAAACTGCAGCAAGCCGTTGCTGTTAGTTTTTTCATGCGGCCCAATAGTGTTTGGCCCGAGCACATGTGTTTTTTTTTAAATTTTGTTTTCCAAGATAAATAATGAAAAATAATATAAAAATATTTTATAGTGCTAGTTATGTCTATTACGTAGTTTAGTCTTCCCAATCAATTACCGCTTACCCACCGTTATGTATGCCATTTATGTTTTGTACTAGCAGATATACCCATGCGTTACAACGGGAGAAAATAAGTTGTTAGATTGCAATGGAAAACGAGAAGTTATAAATATATCATAACTTCAATTTCATACTATGCATGCTTTGGTGCAATTAAATATTAAGTTTTGTGACTTTCTTTGAGGATCCATAAAAATCTGTTATTTAATCTTTAGTTCAAGTTGACGAGGAGTTAATTGTTGATATGTCAAGTACTTGTCCGCCCACCGATAATTATGACGGGAGACCTCTCTCTAGTTTCCACATTGCAAGACTCATCAGGGGTTACACTTTGTGTATTCATACTGTCGAGACACAAATTTATTTAGACGAATGAACTAACAACAAGCACCTCAAGATATTAGTTCGCATTTGATTAGGTAGACCAACAGTTCAACCAGGTTCTTATAAGTTTTGTTCTTAATGAAATGAAAACTGCATCAATAATTTGTTCTTGAATGTCGATTCAAGCTGCAACGAACTCGATTCCATCGATGGTGACTGGATTCACGTCGTGGCATGCTCGATTAGCGTTGATCAAAATCGATCTCGGGGAAAAAAAATTTAAAGTTCAATGCTTGTAGTGACGGACCTTATTCAAACAATAGAGGCTCTCGATTTGGTGCGCAAGGACTCAAATCGCAGCAGGAAGCTCGATTCAGTAATAAACGAGCTTTATTGGAGCGTAAACATGGACGTCGCTAGTCGCGGGAGGGAAGCATGGGGCTGTGCGGTTTGGGGGGACTTTTGGGTTCAACCTGCAGCCCGCTCGTTTTCTGCATGACTTTACTGGGTTAAGAGCGGAACCAACCCAACCCACGAAAGCTCAACTGCCACGGTTTCATCAGGGTTGGTTCCGGTCCGGTTTGCGCTTTTGTCACCAATGAACAGGGCTAGTACAAAGAAACAGATTCTCCATACATAAATATGTAGGATAGTGATAGAAAAATATTTAGGATAAATAAATCGAAAAAGGACGGGGACTCTTTGTGATTTAATACCGGAATAAGATACACTACTTTTTTTTTTCTATTTATGTTTCTATTTGAATTAGGATTTCTATTTAGCTTACTCAGAATGGAAGGAACCTATTTGGGTTAGAATTCGTAGCTATTTAGGTGTCCAAGCTAGGCATATATAAAACATACAGAAACAGTTTGGACATTCACGTAGTTTGTTTGGGAGGGCCAGACCAAAATAATGGAACCGAAAAAGTGACGAAAATTTTACCTCTTTATTATTAGGTATAGATATGTATCTTATCTCTTATTTGTTGCTTTACTCTTCAGGGTTAATCTAGATGGGTTTTGGACTCAGAGAGTGGTGTAATGGGTAACGCAACTATGATATATGTAAATGTTGATTTTACTTGTTATCCGAATAGATATTTGTTTCCAACATTCTTCGAATCCGATCCATACCGTATTCGATAATCAATATTTGCATTCGTAAACGAGATAATCCGTATTTGTATATGTATTTGATAGCTATCCGTGTCTGAATCCGAATTCGAAAAGAAATATGAAAACAAATGTAATATCAGTGATATCCGTTCGTATCCGATCCGTTTTCATCCTTGTGTGGGAGCGAATATTTCAGAATTTAACGGCATTGTGTTTTCATTGGTAGACGACGTTCCCGTCGACAGCGAGTCACCTGTGGTGACTTCATCAATCTCGAGGATTTGCCAGCTCTGTCTTCGAAGATGTTCACAAGGCCGGGTAGGGTGAGTGTGCGTACTTTATGAGTGTCGGTGTTGTACTGTATAATAAAAAAAAATTATCTTACCCCCTTCGTCCTAGAAAAATTGTCTTGCCTTTCAAGGATTCAATCAATAAATTTCAAGTTTCACTACACTTATAAAACATAGTGTGAACATTAATATTTCCAATTATATTTCCTGAAAAAATATACTATTATGTATAGAGAAACTTTATTAAATTTAAAATTGGTTGACTCTCAAAAAACAAGACAGTGGAAGTGTCTAGAGCTCACAGGTGTTAGAGGGCATCAAATCGACAATTATTGCCAGTCGAATCAAATAAATAAAACACAATGTTTACAGCAGGTTGCGATCATGGATTGCAGACAAGTACATGAAGCAAAAAAAAAAAAATCCCATGATTGTCTAATCTCCTTCCGGAGCCTACTGTACGGTTAAATACAAGTTATACATGATCGATTCAGATCTTCAGGTGCAGTGGCGGTGGCACTGCTGCTAGCTGACTTTCCTTCCCTCTCTGAATCCAGTCAGGATCAAGCCTCGCAGCCGGACAGGTGCATGTGCAACCCACGAATTGAGGAAGCAAGCCACCTTGCGATTCCAGCTCCCCAGCACCTGCACCTGATCTTGTTGCACCTCCAGCTTCCTTTTCCTACTACCTGCCCTAGAAATTGCCCGTCGTGTCATAAATTGACTATGATTTTTATCCTTTGCCAAGTGTCATAAATCTGGGCATTCGGCAAAGTTTTTTTTATTTTTTTTCTTCTTTTTCTTTTCTAGAAAAATGATTTTTGTCCTTTGCCGAGTGTTCTAGATCTGGGCACTCGGCAAAGTTTTTTTTAGCCGTCTTTTTCAGCTTCTCTTATAATCCGTCTTTTTCAGCTTGTTTTTCAGCCGAAACAGTGTTTTTTTCTCTCACAATAAATCACCCGGAATAGCGTTTCGACTTGTTTTTTCAGCGAAGCGAACGGGGCCCATATCTGGTTGACCAATGCAACGAGGCTTATTATTCTGCAGACCTTGTTGCTTGACTTGCTTCTTGCAACACAATGGGTCTGGACGAAACCACTGAGTACGTGCAGAAGCTGTGGAGATTGTCCCAGTGTTTTCGGTGCCATAGATCAACATATGGCACCCATGAGAAGTCCTGTGTAGGAAGCTGAGTGAGCTCTTTCTTGATGGTTTCAATTGTAGGCTGGAAACAAGGAGGAAAGAGCTGCAGGCAGTTCACTACTGTCCCAACTATGTCTGTGCTTTCAGATATCTGCAGCATTGCACAAAGAAAGAAGTTGTTCTCCGGTGCATTATCATCTTTATGGACGAATTTCAGGCAGGCTTCTACCCCATGATCCGGAGTGATGGAAGGGACCAGCCATAGCAGATAAGAAGGGTACTCATTTACCCAAACAATCTTATGCTGGAGCACCATGCCCGCAAAAGGTTCCTGTTAAGAGACTTGAATGGCATGTGACAGCGTGGTGTGCCACCAACTTCAACGTATCTCAGAAATTCACTGGCTCCATCTGCAAACCAACTCGAACCTTTGAACCATGGATCTGCTCGGCTCATTTTTGTCACTGAAGGCAGAGAAAATGAATGACTTGGTAGCGCGTGCAATCCGGCTATGGAGGGAGGAGTTCATCAGCTCTTGTTCCACCTGCTCGTCTTCATGGATCCTTTGCTTGAATTTGTGCAGCATGTCATCACACTCTTCGGCAACATGCTTCAGCTTCTTGCGCCAACGCAGCAAAGATGCATCTGTGATCTGCCACTTGTTAGATGTCTCAAGAGCAGCCTCCAGCCTGATGTGTGCCATCTCTAACCTCTCAAAGTTTCTGTTTGCATCATTTGATTCCGCATACCTCTGAACTAGCACTACGGACATCACTGTCGGTTCAAAAACCCCTTTCACTGTCGGATTTTGAACCGACAGTGATGGGGGGTTGACATCACTGTCAGTTCTTAAAAACCGACACTAATCTACAGACAACAGTGTCGGTTCCTGGGTCCACCCGGGAGTGTCCAGTTAAATAACACTGCCGGTTTGTAGTCCCAACCGACAGTGATGGTTGCATCAAGAGTGTCGGTTCTTGGCTCAAGCCAGCAGTGTTGAGCAAGCCTACACTATCGGTTCATGGCTCAAACCGGCAGTGTTGTCGTAACCATCACTGTCGGTTCATGACTCAAGCCAGCAGTGTTGAGCAAGCCAACACTGTCGGTTTGTTGCTAACCGGCAGTGATGGTTACGATAACAATGCCGGTTTGTTGCTAACCGACAGTGATGGTTACGACAACACTGTCGGTTTGTTGCTAACCGGCAGTGAGGGCCCGTTCGCATTTATTGTTTTATAATTTATTTTAATTTATATTTTTCGTGGAATCGGGTTTCGCTTTATATATGCTACGTAGACGACATGTCCATCAATATTAAACATTACAAATATTACGGTTACAATTCAAATGTTCTTATCCAGATCTCGATCCCTCAAAATTAAAAAGAAATGTTCTCGGACTTCACAGATTGTGTAATGCTTCTCGGACTTCTTACAATAATTTGGCGAGCCGCTCTGGGCCATACTGGTCCTTGTACTTAACGGATTGTGCAATGGAAAATACTCCATCCTTTTCCAATACCTCAGCTAAGATGAATTTTGCCAGCTCCGATTGCAGTGCGACGATCTTCATGTCTAACAGCCTTTCGTGGTTATATTTCTTGCGCTGTCGTTCAAAAAAGATGATATCCAAAGAGGAACAGTAAATCATTTTATTGAATTATTAAGAGACATAAATGAAACGGGGATTATACACACCAACTTATCGGCTTCTTCCGATTTCCCGCCGATGTAGCGAAGCATTGCCCACATTACATAAAACCTGCATTCATTGTTTCCCACCGGCTGTGATAGGTACTTCCCCTCCATTTCGACAACCTTGAATGGGACCTGCGTCCCACCGATATGTTTTCTTCGGACACTGAGCAACATTAAAGAGAGAAACATTAGAAAGCGGTATGTGTGATTAGAAAATAATATGTTATTAGGATCGCTTACTAATTCAGCACTACCACCAGTGCATCCGGATGATGAAATAGTTTTTTCTTCGAGTCTCACACCTCGATCAGATTTTTAGCAAGATTGACACAAATGAAGATGAAATGGTTGCTGCAATCACAGAATCCTAATTATCGAATAATCTTAACGAAAAAGCATAAAATTAAAAGCCGAGCACACATACTCGCAGTTGTAGGCTAGAAGTATGTGGGTTTTGTTCTTCATCGTGAATTCATCAAAAACAGCAATCAATCTCTGTCTCAGGTCTTCCACGTCACATCCATGGAGGCCTAGACATGTCCTCTCATTGACTCGCAAGGGGTCCAAGATGCCTATGTAATCCCATTTGCTTTTTAGAATACAAAATTTTGCTATACACCTACATAAAATCATGGGAAGTGCTCAAAAGTTAACAATTTATGTCTCGAGAGAGTAGTTAATTGTAATATCGTGCATGTAGGGTACTTACATAGTCCACAGCGTCAACAGTTGAACATCGAGAGAGCATTTTTGGTATAGCTGAAACAAGCACTCCCACTAGACATCGAACTCCTTCAGGATAATGGAAAACATGTGGCGAACGGATAATAACCTCAAAACCAAAGTCGTCCGTCTCTGTTGCTTGAGCCATGTAATATTCATGTAACTGGCGCATATATGTTGTCAGATTTTTATACTCATGATCGGGAACCAAAAGATTGCCCCTTTCATATTTCATTGCCGGTGTTCCCGTCCCTTGTACATCATAATAGATGTTCGCAGCCTCTTCCATGGTTAATCCTGGGTTGTCTTCGACGTACTTCTGTATGTTCCTTAAATCTTTATTGTGTATTTCTTTGTCTCTTGTTGTAGCGTATTTATTCTGTGTTTGCCTTTCGAATTCAGACTTCAACAAATACGAAGGCAGTGAGGCACAGAGATTGAAGAAACTAACACAATCTTTCTTCGAGATGTGTGCTGTAAATTTTTCTTTTATCAAGGTGGTAACGCTGCCACTGAACGTCCTTTTTCTTTTTTGTTGGTCCACTTTGGGAGCATTAGCGACCGAATCCAAGGACCTTTTCTACGACTGCGAGGATGTCCTTGATCTTGTTTTGGGCTGAGGTGGAGGAGGAGGAGAAGGATGACGACAAGAATTCTGTTTTCCCGGCGCTGATGAAGATGGAGGAGGAGGAGTCTCTATTCTCGGGGCTGATGAAGATGGAGTCGGATGAGGAGGAATAGAAGGAGACCTCTGTCTTCTCGGGGGTGATGGCTCCGGATGAGGAGGGGAGTTATCTCTGTTGGGAGATGGTGAGTGATCATCGTGGGTGGGTGAAGACTTGCAGTCGTCCTCATCATCAGAGGACAATTGATGGTCAAGCTTAATGAAGCGCTTACGCCAGGCCACTTGAGAGCCCTTGTTTTGACCAAGTTTTGGCCTGTCTTCCGCTATGGGGTACTCAATGGGTATCTTGTTATACTTCTTATCAAGTATTCTGTCAATGGTGACGCAAGCGGACCCCTGTGGAATTGGGCGGCCATTAATTGTCCTGTCTCCCTCAGGCCAGGCTTGGCCAAGCGCCACCTTGTCCTTTGTCCATTCCTGACGGATGTACAACTTGACATTGATGGGTTCAGTGATGCTGTCCACCGGATGAGGCACATTCGTCTCTTCTTTGTCTAGCGGGGTCGATCCGCAGCTGCTATGACCCCTAAACTGTGGGCTAAAGGTAGTAGGAGTAGGGTTTTGTGGTACTCCTGAGCCCTTGGATAGCAAAATTTGCTCGACTCGCGCTTCAACAGTCGCCTCAATCCGTGCTTCCATTTTGTCTTCCATCTCTTTTAGTCGCCTCAAATACTCTGCCTCCTGTTCCGCTCTACCCCTCGAGCGGCTTCGGTAAGTGCTAGATTCTTGGGGGAATGCTAGTTTCCAAGGAACAACACTGGTTCGTCTAGTGCGACCATGGTGCTCCTTGGTTTCAAGTGCTTGGGTGAGCACGTCTTTCTCCCTATTAGAAGTGCGAGTCCCTTGCCTCACCTCCTCAGTTACCTAGGAGATCCTCTGGATGAGTTCGCTCATGGGTTCATTTGTGGAGCTAAAGCTCCCATCCTCGGTGTGCCGTACATTCCTCCCCATATAGTATATTACCGATCTGGGCTACCAATCAGTGGTCTCAACCTGAACTCCTTCCTCAGCAAGGCGATCCATCTTTTAAAGTTCTGCTTCAAATTCTAGCAACTTTTTAGCGTAGCCACGAGAGCCAAGGTGATGAGGATTCGTCGCTTTCTGCGAGTTCTCCTTATTCTTCCTGCTCAGTTCTAAGTACTCCTTGGATAACCTGTATTCCTTGAAATCCTACCAGAAGTTCTTTTGCTTGCTAAACTGTCCACCATTGAAATCTAGCTCTTTATTTTGGAGGATAAAATTCTTGTACATTGTCCCATTGAAATTCTTGAAGCATGTCCCCATGATTTCTTTTGCTTTTTTCTTGACTAACTCACTGTCATACTCCCTTGGGAAAGTGAAATACTCTGGGATCTTGACATCCCATATGTAATCCTTCTCACTTTTGGGAACCCTCCACGGGTCATCATCTTTCCCAATCCACTTCCTGTACCTAATCGGGATGAAGTCCCTAACAAGTAACCTGAGGATAGTCTTGTATTTGGTCAAAACTATAGGCGGTGAGAGTGGATCCCTGAATTCATCGAACTCAGTAATGTGCCAGTGTGCATTCCTACCAACAGGAATCTTTGACATGCCTTGCTTGGATCTGGCCTTCCTGCTACCCGAACCCTCTGGCTCCTCGGCCGGCGGAGGCTCCTGCTAGAGACACCAAGTAAGCTATGACCCTCTCAATTGATTAGCGTGTGTGGCTACATAGTCACATGATACCAAAGTTACCTGGCCATCTTGGTCATTTTGACCCAGATCGAGTAGGCCGGACGGGGTCCATGGCTGCTCGTTCTCATAGTCCTGATTGACACCGTCACCGTTTGTCGGATCATGCGGCTCTCCCGTCCCAGCGATATCAGCCGCTTCTTGTTGCCGATCTGTTCTTCGGCGACGGGGTAACAGGTGACGATGAGTCATGACTGTGACACAATCGTGGTTAGTTTTGGATGCGGACAACTACTAATAGCATATGTTCATATATATATACATATATACATATATATATAATATGTTTAATGCAAAGTCTAATAATAAGTCCACATACAACAAAGTCAAATAATAGCATATGTTCACCTAGAACAAATTCATTGTTTGATTGACCACATACAACAAAGTCCACCTATTGTTCTACGAAACTAAGCCTACATCAACTTCCAAATAAGAAAAGCAATGACCATAGCCATAAATAAAAGCATGACATCTTTCCAAGACCAAGGAGCAATTCTCCTAATCTTCACATCTCCGACGGGTGGCTTCTCTTCAATCTCCAGTGCCAGCGGATGGCCATGGTTTGCATTCATTGGACCATAGTAGGCCGGTTGCCCATGGTTTGCAAGGTAGGCCGGATGACAATAGTAGGCCCTCAAAGCTTCAGCTTCTGTGTTGTACTTTTTGTGCAAATTACCAGGGTAGCGATTGACTTGAGTATAGCAATCTTCCTAGGTTCGATAAATCCCAGGCATGTGACCAACATGCACTACATACCATGCCATGGTCGCCTATACATTTAAGTAAATTAGGCATGTGGTAAGTGGTAATACTAACTCACTGAACAAGGAAAGCTTAAGGGTAAGAACATTGTTCGGCAATACATTGTCAGTATTGCTC